CTTCGAGGGGTAGGATTGACCCTCGTTTCAGGGAAGCAGAAGATGAAGCCGCCTACCATCGTTATAAAGAGTGTGGGATAACTATCTCCATAATCATCAATCCTGCCCACATCTCATACCCAGTAATGGATCTTTTTGCTCACACATCCCTTTGCTTCATTCTGTCTCTCGCTTTCCCCTTTAATACAAAGTTTATTCGAGAATTTTTTGCAAACCTTCACATTAACCCTACTTTTAGCAGCCACCTCCATCTGATGATCAGGATCCTTCGTTTTTCCAGTCTGTGTTTTTCTGCTGTTTGTTTCATGTTTTCTGTAGTTTGTCTTTTTAGTCTGTTTTAGTTTCAGTTTTTTCTTTTTCTTTTGTGTGTCTGGACCCTCTTTTTGTGACGACAAAAGGGGGAGTAGGATGTGGTAGGAAAAAGGGGATGTGTTTGTAACTCTGAAATTCTAATGAATTTTTTTTTTTGAATTTTTCCTACTTGTGTTTTCCATCATCAAAAAGGGGGAGATTGTTACAAATATATTTTCATGGCTTATGTTTTGATGATTGACAAACACTATTTTTCTTGGACTGCTTGTTGCTTTTAACTTTTTAGGAATTGAAGATCGGACGAACAGATGAAGCCAGTTAAGGATTGCATAGGATTAGGGTTGAGTCAGTTTGTACTTTTGTTTTTCACTTCTTGAGTCTTCTTGTAATGGTCAAAGAGACTGATGCTAAGTAACCCGACACACACAGACTTGAGAGATTTAGAATTTCTATTTTTACTCATATCGGCCAGGATGATATTCACATCGTCCTGGACGATCAGACTTAAAACAGAAAGTCTAAATAAGGATTCTTAATTAAGGCAGCCGTCATTAACATATCGGCATGGACGATACGTGTATCGGCCAGGATGATAAGCTCAAAACAGAAAGAAATTGCCGCCATAGACAATTAAGGTATACTGTATTTTTAAATTATCGGCCAGGACGATCATGGATCGGCTTGGACGAAATTCTCAAATTATGCCTTAATTGATCAGGAAATCAAGGGAGTAATTAAGGATGATTGATACGATCATATCGTCCTGGACGATCTAGTCAAAAACCTTTAGTTACTTCAGGACGATAAATATCAGCCAGCTCGTATCCAGGGCGATGCTCAGAACGATTTTCCCATGATTTGAACTGATTGGCCAGAACGATCGTGAGATTGACCTGGACGATCAAGCCAATTTTCAATCATCCAGGAGTGCATCTAGGGAGATGCTCTGGCCGATCTTCTGAGATTTGTACTGATTGGCCAGGCCGAAGTCCATATCGGCTTGGACGATAAAGTCGACAACTTGCAATTAATGAGCTCCTTTGAAGCTCTTCTATTTAAGAGCTCTTGTTCAACATTTTTAAAGACCTTTGGCTGCTGCCTTGACCTGAGAAGGCCTTGAGGAGAGAAAGAGAGAGAGGGAGAGAGAGAGGATCTTGTGAGGGGGAGCTTGTGAGGGGATTCACAAGGGTTGCTTCAAGGATCGCTCTGCTTGTTCTTCGTCGAGAGTTTCTCGTCCGTGGAAGGGTCGGTAGAGGTAAGGAGTTAGCTTTTGGTTGTGGTTCTCTGCCAGCTTCAGGAGGAAGCAAAAGGAGATAGGTTCTCTGCCTTGCCGCGGTGGCAAAAAGGAGGTTCTTGTGAGGGCTTCTCCGCCTAGCCGTGGGGGCTAAAGGAGAGTCACGTTTTGTAGTGCAATACTTGGAGGGTGCCTCCGAGGAGTGGACGTAGGTCGAGTTAACCGAACCACTATAAATTTATGTGTTCTTGTTTCTTGCTTCCGCACTTTTAATTCCGCATTTATTTTTGTGGTGTGATTTTGGTTTATGCGATTTTTATTCTTTGTGAAAAGAAAATTTTAAAATACCAATTCATCCCCCCTCTTGGTTAGCTAGGGACTAAGTTTATAAGGGATTAACAACCCTAACGAACTTTCAAGTGGTATCAGAGCACTTTCTAGTGTCATCTGAGCACTTTTAACAACAAGCAGAAATTTGGTGTCTGGTAGAAACTTGGCGACGAGCGAAGGTCCAACGTCGAGTAGAAGTCCAACGTTAGTTGGAGTCCGAGGAGAACTCCAGCGTTAGATGGTATTCGAGCAGAACTCTAGTGTCACTTGGAGTTCGGGTGAAACTCTAGCGTCACTTGGAGGTCGAGCGGAATTCTGGCGTCACTTGGGCGGAGTTTCGACGTCGAGCGGAACTCCAGCGGTGGTCGAGTAGAAGTTTCTTCCCTCCTATCATTCTCTTCTTCTTCTCTTGCTTAACCATCTGAACCAAAGCCTCTAAACAATTAACAAGTTCAGCTTTTTCACAAACATGGACTTCCTCCAGATCAATATTTTTTCTTGCTTCATGATTAATACCATCCTTAATTTCCAAATTCTCATCAAGGATAATCTTCTGGCCTTTGACCTTGTCTCCAATGGCCAACTTGGAATGAGTTGGGCATTTCTTCGAATTGGATGTCGATGCCTCCCCGTTAGTGCCTTTACTATAGATTTTTCGGAGTGGCATGGCCCGTAAATAGATGAGAGATCAGGGACAAATATGGAGTGGTTCGGATGAACGGCCGATATTGAATCCTTCAATCATGGACAATTTATCAGACATTTGAAGGTCTCAATGATGTCGGAATTCATTGATCTTGGGCTCGTTGGATTTGTCTTGTCGAGCCGCTCGATTCGACTATAAGAACGTCATATTTGGAAATTGTTTGGTAACTCAAATTATGGTTTGAACTTTCCTACAGTGCTTCGGGTGTTTGATTTGGACTCATTTGGACTTAGACTGAGCTGAATTTGGTGTCGTTGGGTTCATATTTCTAAGACGCTCAGTTTGATAGTAAGTTTACTGAAATTGGAGTTTATGTGATCTCGAATTTAATTTTTGAAGTCTCTGGCTTGATTTTGCCTCGAGATTCGTGCCCGATCAAGATGATTTTTTGAGGATATATCACTCATCAATACAGCTAGAAATATTCCTAAATTTAGTTTTTTTTTTTATATAATTTTCATGTTGAATGAACCTCTCTTGGTCATTGATCTCGACCTTGTGATGGGCCATCATGACCCTTGATCTCATATGGAACCTTTAATCTCGCTTTAATAATTAGACAATTATAATTTGTTACTAAATATTTTACGTCAATTCTTCTAATTTTTTATGTGCAGGATCCTCGATTTCTTCTAAAGAATGGATTAGGGCTTTGCTTAGTGTGGAAGCCCATGACGAGCAATTGTGGGGACATGTGACATGTGAATGTGACATGTGAAGAAGAAGATGAGCTTTAGATGGATTTCTTGTGCAAATTAGCTCGAATTTGGTTCAAGCATTAGAATTTGAAGATTTTCAAATTAATTTTAGATGCTTTAACACAAGGCTGTAAAAATCGGACCGGACAACGAACCGGAAGAATAAGAGGTTCAAGATTCGACCGGTCGAACCGGGGTCGAACGGGATGATGTAATAAATAATAATATTATTAAAAGTTTATAACATTAATAGAATAATTACGAGAATCTAACCTCAAACAATATAATTCTAAGAATTTAAACTATACAATTTTAATAGATTATCTCTTATTATAATTAAATTAAATTGAAATGATGAATATATTATAATATAATTATAATTTATAAAACACATAGTTTAATTATATTATATTTATGAATATATAATAATTTAATTATAATTAATTTTTATATTTAATTATAAATTTATATAAAATGAGATTCTTATAATATATATATTATAACAAATTTAAAATTTTTAATATAATATATAAATTTATAATATTAAATTACCAAATGTGTAATAAGAATAATATTTAATATAATATTTAAATTTATATTATTAATTTATATAAAATACATTATAACAAATATATAAATTTATAATACAAATTAAAAAAACTTTGCACCCAACTACCCCAAATTTGTGGCCCAACTAGCCCAAATTTGTGGTAGAATCAACCCAATTTAATGACACAATAAAGCTCGAACTCACATTCAAGCTCATATAGCATTTATGTAACTTTTTTAGTCCCACATCATGAGGAAGTATGAGATAGTTGGTTTTTAGCTTTTATATAGTTCCATCTTTTCTAACAAAACTTATTTCATGAGATGACATACATCTATTATGCTATTAAAAATTTCATTATTTAATAAAAAATTTAGTTTAAAAAATGTAATAAAGTAAAATATATTTTTTATATTTTATTTAACATAATTTTTTTAAAAAATTGGCCGGTTCTTTCGAACCTGGATCGATTCGCCGATTCACCGGTTGAGCCGCTGGTTCAGTCCGGTTCAGGCCGGTTCTCTGCGAAGCCGGTTTTTGAACTGGACCAGATCTGTTCATGGTTGAACTGCGGTTGAACCGGCTGGTCGAGTCCGAATTTTAAAACCTTGCTTTAATATCAAAAATCATTGAAGTAGTATCCCTCAAAGGGGGTAATTGTATCCAAAATATTTTTTTTTTCTATATTTCTCCAAATAACAAAAAAAAAAAAAACAAATATATTGGGCAACTTATATGCGTTGGCATATACAGTTAAAATTTGCTTTGTATAAATGATGAAGAAGAAACAATTAAAGATGTTTAAATAACTCATTAAGTAGGCAACTAAAGCATCATTAAAATATTTTATTTAACTAATTATTAGACATATTTAAAAAAGAAATAAATAATATGATCTATATTTAAATTGTTAATTATAAATTGAGACGATACAAGTTTTTAAGTTTTTTACTATCTAATAATACAAAAACAAGCAAAAAATGAATAGTTACAAATTTAATGAGATGTTTATGTAAACATAATTTCTTTCAAGGATCTAAGAAAATTTAATGTTCGATGAAGTTTAAAGTCAGCAAAAATTGCTTTTTTACTTAAACCATTTTATTAGATTTAATATTAAGATTTTAAGAAAATAATTTTGGGCACTTACAGATATTTTTATAATTAATTTGCCAACACGGAAGAGGTGGAAGGCCCCCTCAATCCAAAGTGTTGTGTCAATGGATACGATGAGGATCACCGGCGAATTAGAAAAGGTAAGATCTTAGGGTTTCGAAGTGCACATGATAATTTGTTATCCTTTTTCTCCGGCGAGTTCGGCTGCCGACAACGGCGGCGTTGCCTAATATTACGCTCGACGTTTTTCGGAGTTCGAATTACCGAGCTTTGATAGGTATATCCTGTTTTAGTCTATTTTTGCTGTTCAGTACTCATTCAGTCTCAGCTGTACTAATGATATGGTTTTCCTTATTCCTTGATTCATTTGGATGCTTTTTGCTAGTTTTATTTGCAAGAACTTAGACGAATTGAGATTGGAGAGGAGAAATTTTCGAGTAAGCTTTTTTTGTTTATATATGTTTCGTATCCGTAGTTTTCATTTTTGTAGTTGAACCTCTTTTTTGTAATTCCGTTAACTTTTCATTTATCGCTGATATCTTTCTCTTCCGAGCGAAGTTATGTAAGCACTAGGGAAACTGAGCGGGGAATGCTTTCATAACCTCGCCCCCACCCAATACAACACTTTTGCGTGAAATTGCATCCGAAACTATATTTTTCTTTATCATTTTTAGCGGCATTTATGCCCCTAAAAATGACTTGGAAACTTGATAACATCTGGGAAGTTGACGAATGCATACACTTGTAAGAGCGAATTGGCACATTATTTTAGATGGAGAGGTCTTAAGGCTGCAGGATCTGTTTGATGAAATCCCATGAAAATATAACATCTCTTGAAGAACTCTCATTGTAGGTCATTTCTAATGTGCTTACTTGCAGTTTTGAGCATGCATGGATTATGCTTGAAAAGTTGCTGAAGATGTTCCACTCGTCCTCTTCTGACTCCTTTCATGCCCAACTTTTCAAGAGCTAGGCTTCCTAATCTGTACTTGAGTTCTGCTGATCATCTGTCAAACCAGGTTAGGTCATATGGCTATGTAACTTGTCATGTTGTTTCTATGAAACATTTCTTGGGTGTTAGGTCATTCATTGTGCTGAGAGTAGCTTAGCTATTCGATTATGCTTAGCCAAGCAAGCTATTTTTCACCGTCTTATGTGATTGATTTTCCCCTTATTTAGAACATTTTTGTACCTTGTACTCTATTAGTTGTTTTTTTATAGCAAATAATCATCTTTTCAATCAGAGTAGCTGAAACTCATAAACTGAGCCGAGTGATGAACTTGAGCTGGATCTATCTTCATGTAGCTTTAGTTTGGTTATGACAACCTATTGATTTATATTTGGTCATACCAATTCATATGGCTCAGTTGAGTCAATGCTTTAATTATTTTGCTTGGAATTTTCGGAACACCATTATTTTCATCTATTTCTTATGCTTATACAAGTTGGATAATGTGCCTTTGGAACACTTGGTACTTAAAAATTTTATTTCAAAAGCTACGGATGGCATACTGTATATAATGCGTTAGTCCTTATATAACTAGAAAGGCATTGTGGGACAACCTTATTTAGGCCAATTATTGTAATTTGAGTTGTCATTGCTCAGGGTTGTTGTGGTTAAATATTTATCTTTTTCTCTTTCATGGATGTGATTTTTAATTTTTCTATTTTAGGGTAAATTCTTCTTGAAGGTTTATTTTAGATTTTCACAATTTATTGAGTATCTTTGTCTCTCATCAGATTGAGTTAGATTCTCCTATGTTAATATTTTTTGGGCTAAATTAACTGGTTAGATTGTTGATGGGTCCTAAGAATTAGTGGTAGAAATATTATACCTTATTCGAGAATGTGTACAAAAATTTTGCATTTCAAGTCAGCCTGTGTAATATAGGGTTGGGTTTGGGTAGCTTAAGACTAAAAAAGAAATCAGGTCATGTTGCGTTGGATTTGGGTCAACCCAAAATTAACAAACAAACTATTTAATTGTTTTTTTTATTTCTTCACGAAAAAGCATGTGATTGTGTTCAAATCGGGTATTTTGTCTATTTTCTGTCATCTAATGTTTAAAATATTTATTTTTATTCAATATTTGGGTTTGGGTTCAGATTTTGTACATGTTTAATAAATAGTTTTAATTTCTATTTATTATATTTATTTTGAGTCATTTTGGGTCTAATTTGAACTTGACGTTTGAATTTGAATTGGGCATGGCCTCAGGAGAGTCTGATTCAAGTGGATAAAAAAACTTATGGAGACTTGTTTTTTCTTATGTGAATGTGACCTTGTTAGATTATGTACTACTCCTAGGGAGAATCTAAGTGAAATTTCATACAAGTGGATTTGAAATCCTCTTGAGACTAGGTTTTGGTTTGGTCACTTTTATAACATTTTTATGTCATAACCTTCATTAACCTAACTTTGTACAACTAGGTTGGAATCTCGATTAAGCTTTTGCTCGACAATGCCTTACATGAAGGGGTTAAGGCCTATTGAGTAAGAACTTTCTATTGCCAATACAATATTGGTTAGATTATTGATTTCTCTTAGGGAGAATCAAAGCTGGTTGTATTGAATATGTTATTGATACAACAGAGTGCTGTTACAACAACTATAACACAATATATTCTGAGTTTTATGATAGAGCATAGTGTAATCACAATAATTATAATACAATCGATTATAAGGCTGATAAATAATGTAATGATAATAACTATAACGCATCATTTTTAAATATACATCTTTTCAAGAACTGGATGAATAAGTAAAAAAAATAAATGCACATTTGTTATGGACTTATTGAATAATTTGATCTTTTCATGCTATCTACTTATAAACTTGTGGAACTATATTATTATAAAGTAAATTTACACACCTTATTATATAGGCTGACATAGGATCAACAGTAATTTCTAGAAGATCTTTCTTCAAAGTTAGGATGATGATGTATTATATTTTGCATACACTTTGTAGTCTTTTCATTGCAAATAAGAGATATAACACTTATCATACTTTATGTATAAGTACTACATAAATTTTTATAAAAAAATTAAATATCTTATCTAAGGAAAATTTTGAGGACCTCGGATATGTTTAATCTCCTCCACCTCTGAGGAGATTTGGATGAGAAATGTTTTTGCTTATAGTTAATTAAGCTAGCAACTGAAGTAATAGTGGGAAGAACTTTAATAAAACAAATCCATTGTGCCTGCAAGTTCAGTGTTGGAAAGCAAAAAAAGGATTAGTCATACTTCTTGCTCTTCATTGAAAGTTCGTGAGAGTTGTGAAGCCCTAAAAAATTAGTCCCAAGGCTAACCAAGAGAGGGTGTGAATTGGATAATTAAAAATTATTTAGGAAAAAAGAAATTCTTTTTATTACTTAATGCGAAAGTTATTTAAATTCACAATCAAAAGATAAATCACAGTTTTCATCCGCACATATAATTGCAGAAAAATAAAGTGCAGAAAATAATCAGAATGAGCACACCAGAATTTATAGTAGTTCGGTCAACCTGACCTACTTCCACTCCTTAGAAACTCCCTCTCTAATTATTACACTAAATAATAGTGACTCTCCTTTTGCTCTCACAGCAAGGCGGAGAAGCCTGTACAAACGTTGTTTCACCTCCCCAGTGCGGCAGAGAACCTTAACTCTAATTTCACCCTCCTGGTGATGGTCAGAGAACCACAAATCTATTTTCACCCTCATGGTGATTGTTAGAGAACCCAACTCTATTTTCACCCTCGAGGTGACGGTTAGTGAACCATGATCTTTGTTGAATAATTTCTTCTCCGGAGCCTTAGAGAATCGAAACAAATGCTTTTCTAGGCAAGATTCTTTCTTGGAGCAACCTTTTGAATCCTCTCACAACTTCTCCCTCATAAAATCTCCCTCTCTTCTCTCACAAAGCTCTCATTCTTTTCTTCCTCAAAGCTTTCTCCTGAAGTCTCAACAACCAATTAGTTTCTAATAGGAGTATTTGAAAACCTTAAGTAATGGGCTCAAGAAATCCCAATTTTCAAGAGATTGGTCTTCTATTTATACAGTACGATACACGTATTGTACAGTACGATTAGTACAATTCAGACTCGTCCAGTAAGATCATTCAGATGAACTGTTCAACTTTTATAACATTTCGTACTATACGATAAAACATTGTATGGTACGAACCATAAAAATTCGTTATGTTCGTTTAGGGCGATCCTTGGGACGGCCAACATCGTACATGGCTGTCGTCCAGCACTATGGACATCGTACGATACTATCAGTATAAAAATCATCGATTTCATTTGGTACGATCTTGGACGACCAATTTCATATAAGGATAATCATACAGCATGAACTATGACGTACAATACGATCAATCACAATAGTTGTCCATGATTTAATTGCCTGATATCAGGGGATTAATTAAGAAATTTTTTGGTTAAGGCATATAGTACGAACCAAATCGTACTGTACGATTATTATAAAATTAGTATCTTTCTTAACCTTTGGCAGTTAGGGTTTAACAGAGCACAATATATCGTACAGTATGAATTAAAATCGTATAATGCGACATAGGATCGTACAGTACGAATTTCTTAAAAATAAAACATTCTTAAAATATTTTTATCCCCCCTAGTGTTTGTGCAAGATTACTTAGCAATGATATCCACCCAAATACATGATATATGATGTTGTATTTTTTATTCAAGTGGAGCAGGATATGTGATGTTGTATTTTTTATTCAAGATATACCCAAGCATACGTCCTAGAGCGATGTTTTACATTCTCCTAGTGGCTGGAAGTCGAATGAAAGTGAGGTTTTGGATGTAATCATTTAACATTTGAGCTTCATCCATTTGGGTGTTTGACATTATGAAGTAGGTGACAATTGAAAGGAGGGGAGTGATATTTATCCGGTCTCAAGCTTTAGGGATGATAGATGTTCTCAGAACGTGCTAGATAACCCTGACATTTTTATTTAGAGTTTGAACCAAGGGTTGGTGGTAGTTCAAAGTAGCATTTCGAAGCAAGAGATTTACAACACTCCAATCAAAATTGGATCTGGAGGCCATGAAGAGAGGTTTATTTCTTTGGGTGTTTAGCTAAATAAGGATTCCTATGTCCTCTTTGGTGATTTTCCACATTCTGACAATACACACTTGAAGGCATTACAGTAGCATCCCCACTAATCTTTAGGTTTTCTAGAAACTCGTAAAGGATTTTAGTGTTGAAGGGATAGACAAAAGTCAAAAGAAATTGATAAGCAGTGGAATTGAAGAGGTTCATTACCAGAAAGTTTAAAGCCTATTAATTAAGAAGCTTGGAAGGTGTGATCTTGGCTTCTTTGTATTTTTGGTAGGCAGCTTCATCAGAAGCTATCAAAAAGCGACCATCAGTAGGGTTGTGAGAGGAGGAAGCACCTTGGGTTTAGCAACTGCACTTTCCACCGCTAGCCATTGCAAAGATTAAAATTACAAGGACTAGAAGGTAATGTAAAAATTTTAAGAGAATTGAAGCAGTTTAAATAGACCTTCAGTAAATTGTATCGTATAATCGTGAGATCATATGAGACGATCGAATGCAACTATTTCGGCCAGACGATCAGCCAAAAGATGTGTCTGATCGTACAGTACGACCAAACTTTGTATGGGACGATTAGAGACATGGAGCTTGTCCTGAGGAGTCAAGCTGTACGATTTTTTGACAAAAAGGTTTGTACAGTACGAATACGATCAATGATTAATGTCGTATCAACCAAAATCAAATTGTCCCAAGTTGAATTGACACGTGGATCATACAATATTAAAAAGGTGTCAGTACAGTATGATAGTCAATGATAGATACAATCTAGATCATTCAAGGCAAGGGTTGTGATAAAAAATGTGTTGTACATATCGTACTGTACAAATGTGGTTCGTACAGTACAATTGAGGATGAATTTTTTTTGTTTAGTAGTAAAGATAGCGAGGTTCAGTAAGGTTGTTTGTGTAATGATCAGGATACAATCATAAAGAACGATAACAATAAAACCA